CCCTGTTTTGGTTTGCCCTTAGCTCTGGGGTCCGACAATGGTCCGGGCTTTATGGCTAAAATATCTAAATTAATTAATAATATCCTTGGAATAAAATAAAATCTACACTGTGCCTATAGGCCTCAAAGCTCAGGACAGGTAGAAAAAACAAATCACACTTTAAAGGAGATTCTGACTAAATTATGCTTAGAGACTGAACTAGGTTAGATAGAGCTTCTCCCTTTTGCCCTCCTCAGAACGAGATACACTCCCAAGCCTCCCCTCAATCTGTCCCCCTTCCAGATTGTTTATGGAAGATCTCCCCTAATCATTCCTCTAGTAGATGTAAAATTAAAAAAAAAGATTTCCCACCTTCGACTACTTAAAAGCAGTTCATCAGCTTCAGTCAGAACTACATGATAAATTACAGAAGAAAATGCCTAGTCCCAATGAAAAACCTTTACAACCTCTACCCTATAAGCCGGGAGATTTGGTTTTTATTCACAGGTTTGATTCCAAGACCCTAAAACCACTTTAGAAGGGACCGGTTCCTGTTGTCCTGTCGACTCCTTGGACAGTAAAGGTAGCCGGACATTCTGCCTAGATACATCACAACCATCTAAAGACAAGACCCCCGGTGGACATCACAAAGGACAAATAAAAGGTTACCAGCCAATCAGGCAACCTAAAATTAAGACTGGAGTGGGTTAGAGATGTTTCACATTCATGATAATGTTCTCTGAGACACTGACAGTTTTGACCCCAAGAGGACTAGATCATACAAAAAATGTATAGATTCAATTGACAAACTCCCAATCTGTCTGAATTCTGTCTGAATGTTAATATAAATTTCCATTATGTGCTGAGAAGCTGTCTTATTCCGGCATACACCTCTTTAAAATTAATACAACCCTATACCCTGTTCAAGGACTTCCCAGCAGAAAACCTTACTTATATAGATAGTTATAACTGGGGACATGCTTCATGTCGTAAACCTAAAAATGCTGTCAAATTATATACACCCAAGGTAATCATGTCAAATAAGACCCCATGTGCTATGTATAAAAATTGTACAACTAAGTGTCTAAAGATAAAACAATCAGAAGGGATGCCCTGCCATATAAAACAAAAAATTGTATATAACAATTGCCATATCTCCCTGCCAATAAGATGGTTATATACCTGTGAAGAAATAACCTTCAATTATATTCCAACAAATTTAACCAAGACCCGTTGCTGCTTGAGTCGTCTAGCTGTAGTGTTGCCAGATAAAACTGATTTGATTGTGCCCAATAGAACTAAACGTTGGTCGCCTTACACTGCACCAGAATGTGATGATGATGTAGGTCTGTTAACAGATGCTAAAGTAATAACTATGATAACATCCTTTGTTGCCCTGCCTTCCATAGGGGTCCATGCTAAAAAAACAGTGCAAAAATTAACATACAAGGTAGTCAAAGGGTTAAATGCTACCTCAGCAGCCTTGACATTAATTAACCAAGAGTTACAAGAACAGAGACAGACAATCTTAGATAATAGAACGACTCTTCTATTGCTCTTCCACCACCAAGGTTGTGAAAGGGTAAAAAATATGTGTTGTTTCAATCTTACCGATAATAGTCCAAAGATCAAAAAAAAGATAAAACAATTAAAAGATCTGGCTCAAAGAGTACATGACAAAGATGGCGGGGATTTGTTCAAATTGCTAACTAAGTGGTTGTCCAACCTAAAATGGTTAAAACAACTTTTTCTTGTCATCATAGTTGTGTGTATATGCTTATTATTGTCATGTTGTTGTATACAATAGATGCCTATATTTATGCATAAGATTACTTAGGTTACAAAAAATTCAGTGGGAAATGTGGGACTACAAAACCTTGTAATCTTAAAATTCTTGTAGCCCTGACTACAATTAAATGTGAGCTAATGATTAAGAAGCTTGTTAGTTCTGAAAAGCTAGATAAAATTTGTAACAGATATAGACTTTTAAAGGTAAATTACTCAACTCCTTGTTTGCCCAGAGATTGGACGTTCCTGGACCCACTATCAGTATGTGACAGTCATGACCATTAGTGTGTGTGTGCCGACCATCAGTACGTGACAGTCGTGACCATTAGTGTGTGTGTGCTGACCATCAGTACGTGACAGTCGTGACCATTAGTGTGTGTGCCAACCATCAGTATGTGACAGTCGACCACTAACCCTTGTTTCTTTTCTCTTAAAATCTACATGTTAACCTCCCCCTCAACCCCCTATAAAAACAGCCCCAGACTCTGAGCCACTTGCCACTCTAAGCTACTTTGCTTTGGGAGTGCCATCTGGCCAGACTAATAAAGGTCTCTTTTACTTTCCAACTTGTTGGGTGTGTTCCTTCTCAGGTGTTCGTCGCTGCAGTCAGCTCCTCGGAGCATTTGGTAAGCCCCTCAGTCTTACAGTCACAAGGAAATGTAGCCCAGATCTGTAGCTTGGAAGATAAAGAACAGGATGTGTGAGCAGTTGGCTCCTCAAATGCTCCCTTGAGAATAATCCCTCCATTGCACTGCCCCCCACCCCCACCCCACAATACCTACCTTGTACTGGGTACTTGTTGAGAGCCAGCCTGATGCTTGCACTTGTCATATGTTATTCCATTCACCCTTTGATACTATAGAAATATTCTCTTGTTATTCTAATTTTGCAGCTGAAAAATGGAGGCATGGAGAAGTTATACAGTTATACAGTCACAGAACAGGGATGGGTTTTGTGACCACCTCTATTATCCTGCAAATTGCAATATGAGCAACAGAGGACCAGTGAGAGTTGAAGCTAATGTCACATGCTGTAGAGATGGGAGGAGATATTCACATAGGAATCCTACTCCAGGAGGCTCATGGGCCAGTGGAGGAGACAGTTCAGGGGCATACACATCCATGGTGCCAGGCAGAACAGGATTAATTCTCCAGAAGTGAGAGGCAAGGGAGTGTGAAAATGAAGAGCTTCCTGAGATCCAGAGCTTCATGAGAGAGATGGTATTCTAGTTGTGCCTTAAAGATGTTGTTGGGTTTGGGAGAGAGTATGTTTAGCTAAGGGTGCTACCTAAGCCAAGGCTGGGAAGCTGGAAGGGATATAGCAATACATGGGGCTGCAGAAATATTTTCATAGAATGTTTTGGGCCTATAGCAGTAGGAGGTGGCTCTGGGACTGCTATGAAGTCAGGGTAGGCTGACGGGTGCCCTGACCCAGGCAATTACCCTTTTAACTGTTTTATACATTAGCATTCTCAATGAGTCCTTTGGCAAAAAGGAATTGGGTTTCCAAAAATAGATTATATTATCTTGGTTTGAGCATAGGTAGGTGAGCATATAGTAGGAGGTAGGCATGAAAGACAGGATCAGGCTTGATTGGGCAAGTCCTTGAATAGCAGGTCATTCATAGTATTTGGACTTTATCCTGAGGCACCCAGGAGTACCCTGCTCATAGCAGTGTAATAGGAATCTCACTCCATGCAGAGTGGAGGCTGGACATAGTGTGCTCAGCTGCAGATGGGGAGTATTTTTGGGAGGCTACTGCCCAATCTTGCTGCAGGCCATAAGACGTTTGAATCCTGAAAATAATTGCTAACATGATTATAAACTCTTATGTGTTTGGCACTGTCAGTCTCCCTAAAAACCGTGTGCAACAGTTATAATTCTCACTTTCAACATGAAGATATTAAGGCGAACTTTGTTAAATGACTTGCCCAGTGTCACCCACCAGATAGTGAGTGGCCACACTATGAATCCTGGGCTAGAGCCTGAGATCTTAAACATTGAGGTGTAGTGCATCTCAGGATAAATAGAAAGAGAGCAATGGAGACTGAAGTGGGGTTCACCATGGAATGGAGGTGAAATTATCAGGGCTTGGAGAGGTCTGGGAGTGAGAGGTGTAGCCAGAGCCAGCCCATGGGTCATGGACAGAGAACAGAACCCAGGAGGAGGAAGAGTTTTGGGGACTGGATAATGTTGGGGAGTACTATGTGATCCTGAGATTATGAACATAGGTGCATCATATGAATGTCATTAGTCTCAGCATTTCTTTGGTTCTGTGGCATTTCCACTTGTTTCCCATGAATTGTCCATTAATTCTGGGAAACATGCAATTATGTGGGGGCCAGAGCATGAGGTGTGGTTAGGAGCAGGGACTCTGGGGCCAGACTGAATCTCAACTCTGCAACTTTCTAGCACTGTCCCTGCCCCACCCTGCAACAAGGGGATTTAACTTCTCTGTGCCCAAATCCCCTAGTCTACTTGCAGAAAGTGATGTATCCATCATTATCCTGATGGCATGCTCACAGACTTAAAGGGTATTTGTACAAGCTGTGGCAGTGCAGAAATGTGGTTACTGTTGAAACCACTTCCTAGAATAGAAGGAGCATGTATTGGTGGGATGAACACTCAAATTTCTCTCTATCCACCCTCAAGTATCTGTCCATACCTCCCACTGATGACACAGTGGTGAAGCCTAGAATATGCAGTTCTTAGAGGTCAGTCTTTTGTGAGCAGGGCAGAGAATGGTGGAAAGAAGGCAAAGGGAGAAAAGCCAAACCTACCTGCCTCACAGGTTGTGACAATTGTAAAGTATTCACTTTAAATCCTTGTAACAGTTTTGGGCACATCCTGTGGCTATAGCAATTGTTGTATAGTTATTAACTCTCATTCATTGGAATCTCTGTGTCCAGGAAGGCCTTGCTGGATTGGTACAGACTCATTCACTAGAGCAGAACTCTTCTGTGATCCATGGATTCAGGGGTGCCAGGGAACAACTTGAAATCATGCATACAATACTGTGTATGCATTTTCTAAGATGCATAGTTTTCATTAGATTCTCAGTGAAACCAGAAGCCTAGCAAAGAATGAGAACTAAGTTTGGTTTCCAAGCTCCTCCAGGACTCTGATTCTCAATCTCATTCTAGGTGTCACCCACCATTAGGCTCTGCTGATAACTCCCTGGACTGCAGGAAACAGCTGCCAACTAAGAGTTCTCACCCTGCTTCTTTCATCCAGCACAGGGGACCAGCATGCCCCAGGGAACTGGGCCTTCATGGACCAGTTGACTGCCTTGTCCTGGGTCCAGGAGAACATCAAAGGCTTTGGTGGGGACTCAGGCTCTGTGAACATCTTTGGTGAGTCAGCGGGAGCTATGTGTTTCCAGCCTCATGAGTTCCATGTATTGTGACTTCAGTGAAGCTAGTGGGGGAGGTTACAAAAGTGAGGATAATCAATTACTTAAATTTGATTGGTGGTTTCATGTTGAACAAACACTTTTATACACATTGCCTCCCGTCTTAGTTACTTTTCTCTCATTGCTGAGACAAAATACCCAACATACAAAGTTAAAGGGGGAAAGATTTATTTAGCTCCAAGGCAGTTTGGCATGGCAGATAGGGGCTGCAGAGGAGAAACAGTAGATGACAAACAAAAGGTAGCAAAGCAACAAGGGACCTTAACATCGTCTTTCTGTACTTAGGGCAGGTAGCACTCACGCCCTTAATCCTAGTGCCCTTGAGCTTGCATAGCACCATGAATCAATTCCAGCATCACAAACTCTAGATCCAGCCACCTCTGAAAAAGCTCTACCTACGACCACATGAGGCTTTGGGGGACATCTAGACATAAGGCATAACACTTCCTTTGAGTCTTACAGATACAATTGTGAGTTAGGGGCAGATTCATTTCATGGGTGAGGCAGCTGTCATTGGGAGAGTTTGTAATGAATCTCTTAAGGTGATATAATGAATAATGGTTTGAGGAAAAAATCCCTTACATTTGTAAAATTGAAATCCTAACATTGATTTACCAGGACTGCCAATTACTTGTTTGTATTAGTCAGCTTTTTTGAGGTGTTTCTGGAAAAGGATGACTAAATCTTGTACTATCAGAAGGTCTCAATTTCACTGTGATCCTGGGTTCAACCACTTGAGCATTAGTTAAATTTTTGTTATCATAATGAAATGCCTGAGACAGGTTAACTATAAAATAAGAGGTCTGTTTAGCTCATAGTTTCAGATGCTCCAATTTAAAGTTTAGACAGTCCCATCATTTGGGCTCTGGTGAGGGCAATGGAAGGTATCACATCATGGTGGGAGCGTCTGTAGGAGGAAGCATCACATGTTGAAGCAGGAGGCATAGGGAGCTGGTGGAGTCTGGGTTACTTCTTTTAGAACAAAACTCTTGTGAGAATAACGTTAATCCCTTTGGAGGTTAAGGCCTCCACTGGTCTCCCAGTAGACCCCCTTCTTAAATGTTTTATACTATTTCCCAGTACCACTACCCTGAAGGCCAAGTCTCCACACTTGGATGCTTGAGAGACACCCAAACTGTATTCAAACCATGGTATTGTTTAATAGAAAAACTCACTAAGACCATGAAATTAAAAAAGATGTATATAAACACTTTATTTTAACTTAAAGTAACAAAGTGTACACCCCTTACAAATGGCTCCATACAGGGTGTTATTCTGTTAACCAGAGCTCCAACATGAATCCTTTTGTGTAATGCATGAGCAGAATCCATTTCCCTTGAACCACAGTTTCATTTTGTTTACAATAAATACAAACTTAAAGTAGCTGGTCAACACCTCATTCTGGAGTTTTATACTTTCCTACTAAATATTTTACTCTTCTCTCATCCACACCTAATTTGACAGCAGTTATTTTTAGCCATTGGCCATATCAAGGTTTGTTTCTTTTTTACCCCTGGACACAATTTTGTTTTCTTTTAACCTGCACTGTCCATTGGCTCCCATCATATTCCATTGATTATATAATTACAATAATAAGCACAAGTGACAAAAAAAGTTTAGAAGCAAACATATCTGAGTCTTGGTAAGAAACTGGCAGAATAGAAATATATGGGGATACTAGAAAATGGCCCACTGGGTCTGAGTGATTAATTACAGAAATTAATAACATGGTAGTGGGTTAAGATACCTTCAGCTGTACAGCAGATGACAATTTTTTTTCTTAGAATTTTTATTTATATTGGTACGTATTTGTAGTACATAATAATTATATTCATCATGGGCAGTTGGTACATGAATATAACAGATCTTAATTCTTTTTACATCAGCCTCTCCTTTCTTCCCTTCTTCCTCCATCTGTTGGTCCCCTTCCCATTTTCTTTTTTTAAAATTTATTTATTTTTATTTATTTATTTTAA